GTCAGCTCTTCATAGCATTCAATATCCCGATTTGCGAACAGAGCGAGTCTGGGCAGCACAGAATGCACCCGGACGGGCAGCATGATCAGATTTGGCTGGCACGAGTGATTGATGAACCTCCCAACATTGCCTAAATTTACAGGGTCCACAAAAGTTTGGGTGACCCTGTCCAACCCTCTATGCTCCTGCACCGCGATAATATAATTCATATGAAGAGGAGTCTGAGAAAGCTGACGGCGACGGGCTTCATCAATCCCAATGACTTCCCCAGCATATTCACATACAAATCGTCCACAAGGAAGGCGCTCTAGAGCCTCCACCCCCAACCCTCTGTCGGCGGTGCTGAAAACACCCAGACGGACACACACCCCGTTTTGGACCACACGGGTTTGGCAGGACTCGCCGCAGGAGCAGAGAGCATTGCACTCGAATACTGGCCTGCTGTATGTGGCGTCCTGTGGATGTTGGTTCAGACAGGCTCTGCTGTCGTACGTCTGGCCAAATCTCAGGCAGGGGCAGCTTTCGGGGAAGCAGGACTGGACGCGACACGAGCAGCCAGGGAGAGTCACCGCATTCGGGTCAAGGTCACAGCCGGGTCCTTGTACATTCTCTGGCACATACTGAAGGATTGGGTCGGATTAAAAACACTGATTTCATGCTGTTTATAGTTGCATACAATAACTTTAATATTTCTTATGTGCAGCTTGAAATACCGATATGTATAATTTAAAAAAATCTATATAATTTATAAAAATAGAATAATAAAAACATACAGTTGAAGTCAGAAATATTAGCCCCCCTGAATTATTACCCCAATTTCTGTTTAACGGAGAGCAGATTTTTTCAACAGATTTCTACACATAATAGTTTTAATAACTCATTTCTAATAATTGTTTTATTTTACCTTTGCCATGATGACAGTACATTATATTTTACTAGATATTTTTCATGACACTTCTATACAGCTTAAAGTGACATTTAAAGGCTTAACTAGGTTAATTATGTTAACTAGGCAGGTTAGGGTAATTAATAATAACCATAATAACAAACCATAATGATGGTTTGTTCTGTAGACTATCCAAAAAAATATATAGCTTAAAGGGGCTAATAATTTTTACATTAAAATGTTTTCAAAAAAATTAAAAACTGCTTTTATTCTAGCCTAAATAAAACAAATAAGACTTTCTCCAAAAGAAAAAAATATTATCAGACATAATGTCCTTGCTCTGTTAAACATTATTTGGGAGATATTTAAAAAAAAAAATCAATAATAATTTTGACTTCAACTATATATATACTATAATATAGAATATTCAGGGTGTGCGCAAAAAGTCTTAAAATGTCTTAAATTTCAAAAACTAAATTTTAAGCCTTAAAAAGTCTTAAATTCACTGAATTATTGTCTTGTAGGTCTTAAATCATTTTAAACGGGTTTTAATTTTTCTTTATGTAAGGCTACTCAATCGATCCAACACACATCCAATCACCAACGATACATTTCAATAAAGCTTTTAGCAAGAGTCTTTTTATAACTAATACTAAAACAGTCTGCTGTGCATATATTTGGTTTTATTGAAGATTTTAAAGAGTTTGTTTTTAAAGTTATGTTGAAAAAAATAGTATGTACACAACTAGGCTCTGCTTGTTTTGACATGTGATTTTTACACGTCTTTTGATGGGGCAAGTGAATTTTTTTCTGCTAAAACATCCCAAAAAATCTTTTACATTTAGCCCTATGTAAGTTTAAAATTTCATTCTTGATGGTACTAAAAATGTCTTAAAAAGTCTTAAAATTGATTGGACCAAACCGGCATAAACCCTGATATTATAATTTATTTTAAATTTAAATTTTATACCTTTAAAAAGGTTTTTGACATTTTTGCTGTCACTCTTAGACAACACAAATTTGTAACATCAGAAAAGTTACAAATATATTTATAATTTTTCTATTTTTTATCAACTTTATATATTTTATTATATTTATTTTAATAATGTTTATTATTATTATTAATAATTATTATTACTATCATTATCATTATTATTATTGTGGTTTAATGTGAACATTTAATTCCCTCTCTCAGCATGACCTCCTAAATTGTTGTGATTTTATGTCTTATTTATTCACTTTATTTATTAATAAATACAGTTAAAATTATTTTTGGTTAACATATTGTTTAAGGTTTAATTTCTGTTTAAAATCTGTTTCCAGAAGGTATTTAGTAAGGGACGTGCAAAATTTGCATATTTATCCAGCGTTTTGTTTTTTTGTTGATTTTATTTTTTGCCTGTTGGCAGTACTTAATTTATTATTGAATTATATATTTATTTACTGATAAAAATAGATTCCCAAAACCCCCCTATATAAAAAACTCTCGACTCTAATACACCTTGAAGTTTCAAAAAGGAAATCTAAACATGACTTCATCCAATGTTTCAATTTTTGAGCTACAAATGTATGCAAATGGGTGCATATTTAATCACATAATGCCTCGTTTGGATGTTTAGACAAAGTTTTTTAAAAACTTGTAATAAAAAATGTTTGCAATTCTTAATTTAATCAATCATTAGGGGAAGTACAGTGATCACCATTGCAATTTTTAAGTTATTAAACTGAAGTGTCTTGCCATTAAGAGATAGTTCAACCAAAACTAAACATTTTGCCATCATTTACTCACCCTTAACTTGTAACAAACCTGTTTGAGTTTCTTTCACCCGATAACCATTAACTTCCAGAATATTTGTTTTTTATACTGAGTGTCAATTTCTACTGGTTACTAACATGCATCAGAATATCTTTTGTGTTTCACTGAAGAAAATAAAATCATGAAGCCCTTGAAACCACTTGAGGGTGAATGAATAGTGAGCAAAATTGTCATTTTTGGGTTAACTATCCCTTTAAGATTTACTTTAGAAATGAGTATGAAAGAACACGAAAGTGCTGCCATCAGGTGGTGGTGTGGCGGGACAAGTCATGCAATGTAATTCTTACTATTTTTTTAAATCAACTTCAGGGTTTCTTGGGAGCATTTTACGACTACAAAACGACTAAAATGTCAATGTACTTGTAATACTGTAACGAAAGAAGATGTGACTACCTGAAAATAGGAGAGAGCCTCTTTAGGGACACTGTTTTCGATCAAAACAGGAACATTCTCGAGTCCGCCGCTCAAATCCTGGCTGTAGGATCGCATTGTGTCTTTATGTCAATTTATGTATGATTATTTTGCGGGAGAGAACATTATTTACTTGCGGATTGTTTACAATATCGATGGGCACAAGCTTGAAAGAATCAAAAAGAGGCGGAAATGCTGCTTGCACTTGACAGTAATACAAAATAAAAGTCAAGTTCATGAGACCCGTTAGGTCAAAGATGTCCAAACGGTCCAAACCTTTGATTTGGCCCTCCATCCCATCTAAGAAGAGAGGGAAAGTTTAGGGGAGGGTTTTAGTTAATGGTTTTAATATCCATTGTCACTTCTAATTTAATGTAAGCCTTCATTTGTTAGTTTTATTTTCTAAGCTACAAAAAAAAGAAAGAAAGAAAAACTAACTTAAAATAAATGTTTCAATTAAATGTTGTAAATGAATCCAACAATAAACTAATAAACTCTATAGTGTTTTAAATTTAATTCTCATGTCTTCATTATAATGTTTATTATTTAAAAAAATTAAATGGATTAGGTAATATGATTAAAATAATGTTTTCTATTTATATTTAAATAAATGAGGAAATTATTCATGGAAACTTTGGCTCATGGCCCTATTTCAAGTTTGGTTTTTGCCCTTCATAAGAAAGTGTTCGGCCACGACTGCGTTTTAGGTGATTTGATATATTGATAAAAAACAAACAAACAGAAAAAAAACATGTTAAATGATCACGTTGTATAAATTATTATTATATATAAATATCTGACATGAACTTATAAAAAAAATGCATGTTTTAGGTAAAATATAAAAACTGTAGTTTTTATTTTAAGATTTCAGAAAGTGAGATGCTGAATATTCATGTGTGTGTATGTATATATATATATATATATATATATATATATATATATATATATATATATATATATATATATGTTGGGAAAGGTTATAAAAGAAATGCATTACAATATTGAGTTACTCCCCAAAAAAGTACTTACTTATGTTATTTAACTACTTAAATCACTTTTTATAGTAAGTATTGTGTTACATTACTTTTAAGTTACTTTACATTACTGTTTATTACCTGGCTGAGACTTGATCTCTTTCAGAACTTTTTCCCCCCTATTTTTAAATAGAGGAACTTACTTAATATAACCTCACTTAACACACTGTATAACCTGCACCTACATTTCCCTTAAAAGAACATAATATATATATATATATATATATATATATATATATATATATATATATATATATATATATATATATATATATATATTTTTTTTTTTTTTTTTTTTTTTTTTAGGATGTTATCTGAGAACTTCCTGACCCCAGAGCTATACATGCCATATATAGATTAATGAAAGTTTAAAGGAATGTGTTCTCTACTTTAGTACTATTTGTCTTAAGTAAAATCACTGTCCATCGAAACAATACTTTTCTTCGATGCGTTGAAAATAATGAACACATTCCCTCATTGACTGTGCAATTCATTGTGTTTAATTTTCAGCAATTTATTTTTTAAAAGCTCATTAGTTAAACTAAAAGGCAACTCAAATATTACTACTTTTTAAAATCGTTACTTAGAAAGGTAATATTACGATGTAACTTTAAGTTACTTGCAATGCATTATTCCAATATTGTATGTATATGTGTGTGTGTGTATACACACACACACACACACACGTATACATATGTACACACACACACACACACACAAATATATATCTATATACTCACATAATTAATAAATATACACATTTATAAAAATAAAATTTATTTATTTATATCATTTATACTGTTTTGCATTTGTTAAAATGTTGAAAACACCAATAAATACTAAAAGAAAATAATCAGAATCCTTTAACTTTTTTATTTAATGTTCAACCACAAAAACATTATAACAGACACTACGACATAAAATTGTATAATTGGAGAAGCACTAAACACTTTAAAACAGTCTGATTGGCACTTTAGTGCTTTCCATCCACCTGACTGGCATTTCTCATGTGCAGATGTTTGTTGCATGACAAATGTACAGCAGGAAGCAGTGTATTTTAAACACACACACACACACCTTTGTAATTAAACAATAACAGTTTAGACCCTGGTAAAAACGCAAAGAAAAAGGGGGGGGGGGGATCAAACAAAATATTAGCTATCAATAATTAAAATTAAAGCAAGGCATAATGTTTATCCATGGTAACTCCAGTCTGCAATTGCAAGACTGTTGATATATATATTGCATGGTACGTCAAAAGTAAGTTCACTAGCAGGTCAAACCCAAACAACATACAACACTGGGATGTTTGCGAAAGCAAGCACCACAGAGACAGTAACAAGTTGCCTGACAGATCAAAAAAAGGTCAATAAAATTAAAGGACCAGATACAGTATAACTTCAGCCACAATCAGGCATGAAATGAGGAAAGCAAATATCTGTTTACAGCATCACAATGGTCCCATACAAAAATGAACTGATCTGAAACAGCCAACGAATGGAAATTTTGTTTGACTAATTAAAGTAAATGATGAAGACAGGAGGTGCGTGTTCGTAGCCATTATCTTGACCTCAGCATCGATGCCAGGAATGTGCCTAAGTCAGGGTTTCCCCTTTTGTGACCTTAAAACATCAAGCAGTAGTTAAAATGAGGGTTATTTAAAACAAAATAAACCTGAAAATGTATTTATGAAATCCATGAAAACATACTCTGGCTTCGATGTACTCGATCCTCCTCTCCAAAGCAGTGAGCTTCTCATTCAAAGTGGCTAAACGAGACCTGCAGGACATATCTAAAGAGAAAAATCAAACAGGTTTCATTTTAAAGGACGTATGTGTACGTCTCAGTAAATATTAAAAAGCAAAACTGTCAAAAATGTATTATTATAACATGTATGGGTATGTGCCAAAATATTTGAATATCGATTTTTTTCAATTATTTTTTTTTTTAAGTGAAATTTGTGTTATGTTAGTTCACTACACACAAGGTGAAATATTTCAAGCCTTCGTTTATTTCAATTTGAAAGATCATGGATTAAAGGTGAAAGAAATTTGAATATTTCATTTGACCAATAAAAAAAAAGAATCTTAAACACATGTTGGCCTTTTAAAAAGTGTGTTCATGTACTGTATTATGTCCTGAGTACTTTGTTGAGCCTCCTTTAGCACTAATTACAGTATCAAGGTGGCGTGGCATTGAGGCGATCAGCCTTTGACATAGTTGAGATGTTATGGTAGCCCAAGTTGCTTTGATATTGGCCTTTAGCTTGTCTGCATTTCAGGGTCTCTGTTGCCTCATCTTCCTCTAGACCAGGGGTTCCCAAACTTTTCAGCACGCGACCCCTAAAATAACAATACCAGTGACTCACGACCCCCAATATCCCCTGAGGTGGTTATAAATACAGAAAACTTGCATGCAATGGCGCACACACCAAAGTCTATTCTTCGTTTAATTTTTTAAATGTATTTCAGTGCTGTAAATGGGCCAGAAAGTTTAACCTGGTGTTATAAAATCAATCTGCTGCATCTGACGCTATTGCTGTTTTTAAAATAATGTATTTACCCCTTGGGTCGCAATCCAATAGAACAAGTAAATAAGCTACTATAGTAACTATAAACGGCTGTTTTTTTCTCTTCAGTTGGTTATGGATAAAATATGGTAATTCTTATGGTCTAATAATAATAAGTAGATTTTTGGAAATCACCAGGCGACCCCCCCTTCATTGTTCCGCGACCCCCACTTTGAGAACCACTGCTCTAGACAACAGCCCATAGATTTTCAATGGGGTTTCTTGGCCAATTAAGAACAGGTATACCATGGACCTTTAAACCAGGTGCTGGTAGCTTTGGTACTGTGTCCAAGTTCCAAGTCCTGCTGGAAAATAAATTCTTCATCTCCAAAACGCTTGTTGGCAACAGCAAGTGCTCTATAGAGCTGCGTTTTCTGTGGACTTGATAATGGACTAGGCATGGGCCGGTATAAGATTCTGACGGTATGATAACCTTGGCTAAAAATATCCTGTTTCATGGTATCATGATATTGTGCTCACTGCTCTAAAATAGGGCTGTGCGATAACACAATATTTGATCATGGACGATCAAAATTACTGCAGGATCCATTTTTTCAGGAAAATCGTTGTATCGTCATATATAAACATTCTTAAACATACATGGTAAGAGTATATTTGTATATGGGGTCATTAGTTTGGTTGTATTGTACCTTTGTAATATGCAAAATAGTCTAAAAAAACTACTTGAAAAAGAATCGGGATAAAAAATCGTGAATCGTGATTTCCCCAGAAAAAATTGTGATATGATATTTTTTTCCATATCACCCACCCCTACTCTAAAATATATTATTCTTAAATGTCTGGGTAAAAAAACAAAACATTTTCACACAATATATTTTATTTTAAGAAACAGTCATAATATTTTGGAGCAGTAAACAAATTTTACAAAAATTACAAATGAATCATTGACTTCTGCTATCTTCATTAGTTTCAAAAACGCACATTTCTTTACAATTTAAAATGGCATTTTTGGATATTTCTTTCTGCTGCAGATACTGTTGTCCTAAAAAAAATTTAATAAAAAAATCTTTTGAAATTGCCTTTTGAGATTTTCCACCTTTTGGAGGGTTCCAATGATGGTTTTCTGCACAACTATCAAGTCAGCAGTTTTTTCCATGATTCTAAAGCCTACTAAGCCAGACTGAGGCAATTGTAAGGCTTTGCATTAATAGTGGACTAGACTGAGACACAGGAAGTGTTGAAACGAAGGCTTGAAATATTTCACCTTGTGTATAGTGAACTAATATAACACAAGTTTCACTTTAAAAAAAAAAAAAAACTTTCCCTCAATATTCCAATTTTTTGGCAAATATCTGTATATTTAATTTATTAAGACATTTGTTAAGACATATTTACCAATAATAATGTTTTATTAATAACAATTGAATTCATATTATTTTAAATACTAAAAATATGTTAATGTCATGCTCTTTTATGTACTAAAGATATTATATATATATATATATATATATATATATATATATATATATATATATATATATATATATATATATATATATATATATATATATATATATATATATTAACATGAATTATTATTACTATTATGTTATGGTAAGTTTTTATTAACAACAATTATATTTCTAATATGATGACACGCATTTATATATACATACAAACATACATACATGTATATTATTGTGGTAAGACATTATTTTGTTAAGACATCTTTGCAATGTTTTATTAATAACAATTAGTATTGCAATTATTAAAAATTATGTTAATGTTATGTTGTATTATGTACTAAAGACATACACTTTGTTTACACACACACACACACACACACACACACACACACACACACACACACACACACACACATTTAGTTGTAATATAAGTGCAAATACAATATGATAAAAATAGTTTAAGATATTACGGATACACAGAAGCACTAAACTAAAGCTTATTTACCAAAATAAACAAATTTCCTAATTACTTTTTTGACGAATGACCACCAGCAAATACGTTTTTAATGGATATATTGGCACTTGAAATGTATAACTAAGTATGTCGATATTTTAAATCATCGTATATTAAGGCAAAAATCTTAAACAGGGTTGACAAGTCTAACCTCAAAGCAAACCCAACGCCCTACATGTTTTTCCTAGTATTAAAACTACCTGTATGTCTAATAAACCACGTCTTCTATATATAAACAGATTTACTATAGTATTATTTGACCCTAAAGTGTACTGAATTTCAAAACATCTGCATTATCAAACATATTTTCGACATAAAAGCCACTAGACTGACCCACTGCTCCACATTAGCATGCTAGCGTGCTGAAATGGCGTAATGACCCGAGTAAAAACATCAACGATGTGATTCTCCGTCTTACCGAAGGAATTGAGGAAATCGGCTATTTTCTTAATGCTGCTGGTGATCACTTCGATGTATTCTCGATTTGCCCAATCTTGGTGAATCTCCCTTTGCACTGGATCCTCCTGTCCGGCCATCGTGAGCTAGTTAGCATTAGCATTAGCCGCCGCTGTTTGCGATAGGAGAAAAAGCAGCGACCCCTGATGGACACACACCGAAACACCAAATCTGGGTTATTTGTCACTAGTGTTAAGCCTGCACAAATAAACTTACATCGTTAAATAGTATTTGTTAACAAACCTGATTCTAAAAATGTATTAATGGCGACATTATTTGTTGCATTAGCCTATATATGAGCAATTCCATGCAAATGTCAACCTTGCCAAGTTTTCACCAAAATAGAAAAACTGTTACTACATTTTTTGTGTAAGCAAGTATTTTACAGTACTTTAAAAATACTCATAAATGTATCTATCAGTGTTTCAAACTATTATTTCTAAATATCTAATTTGCCAAAATCACACAAGAGGAAATTTCACATCTGTCACATCCATAACAGAAAAGTGTCACATCCATAACAAAACTTTTTCCTCATAATGCAAAAATAAAAAAATACAAAATAAAAATAAATCATGTTTGTTCTATAGTGAGCCAACTCTTATTCTTTTGATTACCATTGTTTCTTTTGGGTTGTGCAGTTTAATTGACAGAATTTCAACAAAGTATGTTGTACACACTGTAAACTTGCAAACCTGTTTTTTTTGTCATCCATAACACGTTTTTTTCCCTCATTTAAAGTATATATATATTTTTTATAGATTGGTATTTTTCTGATCCCATAACTTTGTGGTAATAGGAAAATATATACAGCTGTTTCAATATAATTTTAACATGTACTTTCTATTTGAATTTACGTTTTAAGTGCAAATGTCACATCCAAAACGCTGGAATTGCTTATATATATAAAGCTGTCATTTATCTGTTTTCATACAGTCAAAAGGTAATTGATTCATGTGGTTTAAGTTTAAATATAAAAAATAGATTGCTAGACATTTTGCCAAACAAAATGTGCACATTTCTGTAGAATGGCCCATGAATGCATTTTTATACCTTGTAGTTTGACAATAGTAAATAAAGTAGATCCCATTTCTAATAGGTAAGACAGAATGGTCAGTTCTTGTATTGGATGTCTCAAATATAGACATATTATATTAAACCTTTTTACTGCAGCATTTTGGAGAAATGTGCCATTAAATTACTTTAGAGCAGATTCTATTCCTAAAAAACAAATGGTTTGTTCTTATACGGCACGTCCCAAACTTCCTATATAAACCTCTTACCGCATCATTTTGTAAACACAGGTCATTATTAGACTTCAGATGGTTATAAAGTATAAAGATTCATCATATTGATCAAAAGTACACTCTAGTGTAAATGTTATGTGGCAATCTAAGTAAATACTTATTAACTGCTGACGCAACCTCACTCTAAACACTGTGGCCACAGTGTTTTTCCCTACTTGATATAACACAAACTAAAACATGAGCATTGGTCTTGTAAAACAATATTTTTGCTATTATTTACAAATTATGAGTTCCACACAATTTGAACAACAGCAAACGCCATTTTGATTGTATTACTTTAATCAAAATAGCTGCAGTTTTTTCAAATAATAAAAATAATAATGATTAGTCATGGTGATTAAGTGAAAGTTTAAATTCCACACAAGCATTTAAAAGCTGCTCACTGTTTCTCTGTATTAAGTAATTTTCAGTGTTTGTGCTTTGTCATGCTGAAACTGCACAATTTAAACTGGATTTAGTATCATGCTAATTATTAGAATAAGTTTTATTAAGAAGATAATTCATTTTACTCATGTTATTGAAGTGTTTAAACCAGTATTATAAGGATAGGTTACAAAAAAATAACAAAAAGTATTTTGAAGTATGTAGGAACCAGTGTCCACTGACATTCATAGTCTAAAAAAAAACATGGATGTCTATGAACTACCTATGGAACACTGGCCTATATTATATGGAACATTACCAACATTTTTCAAAATAGCTCCATTCAGAAAAACTGGACCACTAAAACGGAGACTAGATAGGAATTTTTATATGAGCTATCCCTTTAAGAGAAATAAGAGTGCATATGCAATTTGAAACAACAAAAAAATAGGGAAATGAAAGTGGAATGTTGAGGTTTGTCGACTTCTGCTTTTTTTAACATTGTAAGTTGTGAAAAAAGGAACGAGAAATATTTGTTTAAAAAGTTTATTTTCAGTTCACAGAGTGGAATGATAAAACCTGAGCCGTGCAGTTCATGCATAACTTACAACAGCTATAATAAACATTTACAGTCCATCAGAAACTCCCCTCAGAAAAGGTTTTAGGAAGCATCTTCATTAAGTAAACAGTGTAGAAAGCAGTGGCACTTTAATCATGACTGCACAGTCGGTCTATATCAAACTACAATCTTATTTTTAAAGCATGTGATGTGCAGTGGACGGTTTATCTTGCAAGAACACAACACGTAGAAGCCGCTGGTTTACTTGGTTCTCTTCAGAAGCTCTTTAATATCAGCATCAATGTCGATGGTGAGGAACCTTCTGCTGTACCTCTTGAATGGTTCCCCGTCCGGCCCGATGAGGAACTTTTCAAAGTTCCAGGAGATGTCATTCCTGCACACGGGGCTCCAGATGATAAATTTAGGGTCTCCCATAAGGGACACAGGGTCGTCACTGGGCTGAGGAAGCTTCTCCTTCAGGAACGCAAACAGAGGGTGGGCGTTTTCACCATTCACTTCCAGCTTCTCCAGAATTTGGAATTTGGGCTCGAAGCCATTTCCAGGACGGACGTATTTCAGAGACTGCAGGATTTCTTCATTCTTGCAGTTCTCCTGTTGGGCAACCCAAATTGCACAATATGTTATACAGTGAGGGGAGTAGATAATATGGCATATGAGCATGAAATCTGATAACAGAGCAGGTGCTGCTTATTGTCACGGATGACAATGGACCAAGCCTTGAAAATAGTGCAAAGAAGGTCAGAAATTCAGGATGACTCTTTGTAGACATGCTCATGTGAAACATTTCCCTCCCTTTTGTGATGCAGACCACTGAAAGCCTCCAAGATGCAGCCTTAAAATGTTTCATTCATGTATTTATTAACTGTAAAGTAAAACCCAACAGTCAACTTTATCAAATGAAATGAGTGTAGTTAACTCAAAATTTACTGAAAGTTAATTCTACTCATTTGAAAAGAGTTTTTAACTCAGTGTTGAAGGTAATGAGTTAATTAAATACCTCATTACTTTAACTTAGAGCAAGTTCACAGTACTGGTATAGATTAGTTTTTTAACTCAAATGGGTTGTTGCAATGGGTTGAGTCGCCTTAACTTGTTTACAGTACTCAGTTGGTTCTCTTTATTTATTAGGTTTTACTGTGCTCAAATTGCTTATTTTACTCAAATGGATTAATTAGAATTAGTTTTTGAACCTAAATAGTTGCAATCGGCTTTCTCAAATGGTTTGAGTAACCTTAACTTTTTAGGTTTTACAGAGTATATTAAAATTATATAAAGACATCTAATAGAATGCTTATAAAATTACAAGTTTTTTTTTTGTAAAACCATAGAATAATTTAGTGTATGATAATAATAACAATGATACTGTTAAAATTAAGATATTAAAAGCCTAGTAGCCTACAAAACATTTTTTCCAAGTACAAGTATCTTTTATATTCTAAAAATTATTTCAGTAATAATAACTGTTTTTTTACGTAATCGTAATTCTTATTAATGTAATTTATAAATGTTATTAAATATAAAGTAAATAAATCAAAAGTGATGATTACTTAAAAGAACATGATAATTTATAAAATAAAAATAAAACATTTAAATGTAAAATTAATATTTGTTTTTTAAACCATTAAAATGTTACAATTCTATGTATAATGCTATAAAAGTCCATCATTGTATTATCAATAAGTATAATAATCCACATTGAAAGAACATTATTATTACAAAAACGCCAGAATGTAATAATTTAATAATTATTTAATGTAATAATACAGTTTATTAAAAATTATTTTAAATAACCAGATAAAATATTAAATCATAAATATATTTAAAACAATATATTAACTAATTGAATTAATATACCAATAACTTTTAATAAACATTGAACATAAAATATATTAATAACAATCATAAAATCTATAATTTACCCTGCATACATATTACAACTCATCACAGTGAACAAAAACTGTTAAGTTAGCTGAAACATCACAGTCAACTGAAGACTGACCCCAGTGCAGCACTAAAGTCTCACCTGGTGCCCGAACTGGTTGCAGGGAGCGCCCAGAACCACCAGCCCCTGGTCGGCGTACCGGCTGTGGAGCTCGTTCATCTGGGTGTAATCCCTGACTGTTGTGCCTCAAAGCGACGCCACATTTTCAATCAGCACAACCTTTCCTTTGAGAGAGGAAAAATTCAGGAGATCTCCTGACAATAGTTTCGCGGACAGGTCGTAAAACTTCTTCATGGTTCCTGCCATGCTCGAACACGCAGTTTTCTCTGCAGCTCAAAGGGCAACACGCAGGTTTTATTTACCGTCAAGATCCTTGATTTGAACCTTGAAGCCGAAAATAGGAGGCGCGTAAAAATGCGTCAAGGAAGTGCATGTTGTGTTCGTTGTGTTATTGAAAGAAAAACAGGTAAACACCGCCATCTTCTGACAGATGACGATACTGCGTTCAAATCCGTTATTCCAACATTTTACCCCAAAATCCCCAAACATTTTTACACTTTACAAAAATACTCATATTCAGGGCAAAAATATCTTAAAGCATGAAATAGTAAATCAAATATATAGAAAATATATCATTTATCAATGTTCTGTTTAAGCAAAAAAGTTGTCTGCAACATTTTTACCATTACATGACTGTATATGAATGCCTCAAACAAATGTCTTCAGCCTTTAAACTCTGTTTTTCACAGCGCTCTGAGGTTTATTGCAGCCTGTCGTAGACTAACCATTGTGAACTGTATGCTAAAGCGTAGTAGCCTTCTCTGATTGGATGGATGACTCTGGTCTTCTTGGTCTGACTGCTTTATACCCATTTTCCCTTCTTCATAGGTCAAAAAACAGTAGGCCTATGTCCTACATTCAAGTAAAACTTATCATTTGTCTGTTCCCCGGGTTCGAAATAGGGAAGCAAGCCTTTAGTCATGATGGCCCCTCATCCTGGAATATAGTCTGAGCTAAAAGTGTCTGAGCTATTCTCATTTAAATCATTTTGCTCTATCCTTTTTAGCAAACAACAACAAGAATTTTTTTATGTATGTGTTTTTACATATTATAATGTGGTATAGCTGAATAACTAAACTGTATTTTATATTATTTTTACTTTTTATTTATGATTATTATTTTTCACATTTTTTTGAAAAATATCTGATAAAATATTATGTGCTGTCATCATGGCAAAGATAAAATACATCAGTTATTAGAGATGAGGTTTTAAAACTGTTAAGTTAAGAAATGAGTTGTAAAAATATTCTCTCCGTTAAATCGAAATTGGGGAAAAAGTTAAACGGGGGGCTAATAATTCAGGGGGCTATTAATTCTGACTTCAACTGTGTGTGTGTGTGTGTGAACATTAAAACATTAAAATTTTGACCACTTCATATAGGCATTTTTGTTGAAAAAAATGCTTGTTTTGTAAAAAAATCAATTTGGTTTAATTTGTGTGTGTGTGTGTGTGTGTGTGTGTGTGTGTGTGTGTGTGTGTGTCTGTATAACCTACTTTATCAGTTTATCAAAATAAACAAAACAAAAATTATTTGTGTTCTATTGTTTTGAAAAATACATCACTAAACTGCTATATAGCCAAAACTGAAATATTAAGTTATATGTGTAAGGTTTTTTTAACTAAACGACTAAATT